AGTAACTACTCACCATAGGCTGTCCTGGTTCAGAAAATTTAACTTTAATATCCTGCAGATGTTTTAAGATTGGTTCATCATACTCCTAAACAGGGAAAGAGAATGTGAATACACAGTACTTAAGAAAAATAAACTGTACCTTATTGGCTTGTTTCAAAACAATGGCCTAAACATCAAAAATACTAGGTTACTCAAAAGCTTTTAGTTGAAGTTCTGAGGCTGAGATACAAATGCTGGAAAACTAATCACAAGCATAATTTGCCAAATTCTTATTTTTAAAAACTTATCGCTGATGTTAAAGTAGTGTTGTTCCTATCTAATATCAATATATGGCAAATAAAATCTTTGGTTAGTTACTGGTTTAGCAGTGGAATGAATAAAGTTAACATTTTGGAATAATCTCATGACAAAAAGAAATGTTCAGGTAACTTCCATAATGACACTACACTGTTAAATTACTGATGGTACAACAGGTCTGTATTGTTTATTTTTTTTAAACCTACTCAAGATGTCTTCATATAAAACTACCTACCTATCTTTCTGAAATAAGGTGGCAAAAATCAAAACGGAAACAGTTGTTGTGAGCAGTATGTGATATGTTTTAACAGGAGACAGAGCCAAATGAAATACTAGTTCTCAAATAACATCTCTTATCAAACTTTCCGTTGTCTGTACTTTATTAGTGCAGTCTTCCTCAAGTATTTTACTTTAAGGCAACTTTATTCTCAAAAAACCTCACACTTCATGTACTATCTATTAAAAGGAAAAAGAGGCATAATTTCATGTGTAATGGTTAAAAGTAAGCACTGCCAAGGGGAATTTTCTTACCTGTACTAATTCGCTTAGCATATCTACATTTCTAAAGATTGTATACCAGAAGTCTGGAATTCCTTTGGGGTTCGCCTCTTCTGTTGTTGCTGCTGCTTTTTCTTCTATTACTACTTTATTTTTCAGGTCTCCCTAGGAAATACATGCAGAAATAATTTAAGAAAAAAAAAAATCACAAACTCTTAATTTATCAAGTATCTGAATCCTGTTCAATTTGTAAAACTTGTTATTTGGAACTGAGCTATAATTGCAATGACTGGTTTGGATTAACACTTACAGATGAAGTCAAATGGAGATAAGTTTGAATACTTGTCAATTCTGAAGTACATGTACTGCTGCTAGTTTAGAATTCAACCCTTTCAATTCACTTGGAAATCTTGCATACCAGATTCCCAGGTTACTGTATTTTTTTTTTTAATATACAAACAAAAAACAAAAAAAAAACACTGAGGATGCCACACCCCTAAAACCAAATTTTTTTATTTTTATTTTTTTACTTACTATATTATGCCAATTGTGAAGTCTACCTTTCTTCCCCCCTAAAAGAATCATAAAAAAAAGCAACAAAACCAGATCACATGCTCTACTTATATGTAGGATTAGCTAACCATCAGGTGCCCTTCAGTAGGGACTTTTGCACTAGCATCATTTTTGTGCACATTAATATCAACTAAGAATATTTTCTAGTGCGATTTTAGTATTTTTAGCACATTAATCCTTTTGGTCCTTCCCTTGGTTATTTGAGTCTCCTGTGGGATTCTGTAAAGGTAACAGCAGTTCAAGGTCTGTCTGTAGTTACTAACTTATATTCAGGATAAAAAACAAGTAAACCTGTTTTTCCTAATGCTGATCCTGAAAATGTGGTGGGCTTGACATTATAACAATCAGCCCCCTAGTCCTCACACTTTCACTTGCCATGCTCCATCTAAAATTTAAATTAATTCACTAGGCACAAATGATCTTTCCAAGACTTCCGTGAAGCATTCTGCAAAACTTCGCTGCTTTAAGAATTAATCAGTGATGAGGATATAATAATGAGAAGTACCTATGCAATATGCAATACAGGCTCAGAGGGACAGCTTCAGTCACCAAATACATGAAAACAATGAATTCAGAGTGAGATTTTATTAATACGTGTCCCCCAATGAACACCAAAGAAAAACAGGCTTCAACTATGAATTAATATTTTGCTGCTTTTCTGCCTACCACTAGGTGGTAGCAAATACACTTATAAACTGCCTCCAGAAAACAGAGATGAGAATTATGAGTAAAGAGCACAGAAGCAATACGTTTCATGTTTTTGGCAATATTTAAAACAGTCTGCAAGAGTAACTGCTGTATTATTATGCAAATATAGGCAGATAAGAAGTCTCAGACAACAATACAAACTCAAATTGCTTGCAGGCTGCTGGAAGTTACTGAAAGTGGTCCTCAAGACAGGCTGGCAACTTCTGTTAACTGTTGCTACTCATCCGCTAGGTTAGAAACCTTGTCGGTGCACGTGGTAATACTGTGGGTTATCAAAAAACATCTAAGTAGTAAAAAATAAAGAGGGTACTATTTGTGTTGAACTGAGAAAAACTAAAAACCTGAAAACAAGGCAAAGGAGAAAGCATGAAGAGCAAGGCAACCATTTAAAACACCCTGCTTACACCAGAAAGATGTCAAACTTTGACTGTACCCAGTAACTGAAATATACAGAAGCTATATATTTAGTCAAGCAGCTTTTTAGGTCTCTTATTAGGCTCTTTATACAATGTAATCTTTTCTGTTGAAGAGAGAGTACATAAAAATCCAGCTGCCATAATCATTTCTACTAGAGTAAATCCTACTTTACAAGGAAACATGCTAGGAAGTTATAAGACAGTCACTTACCAAATCTGTATTTATAACTATACAAGTCAATTGTATCCCCAAAAATAAAGAGGGTCAGACAGACAGATGAACAGTCCACCTTCTGTTACTTCAGGGATTTAATATAGCACTGGAATGGAACCCATTAGCAGGAGGACACTGCGAACAGGTTACGAACAGTGCAAGCAATAACAGGCCACAGTCATTAAATAGTATCGTTCACTATGTAATTCAGTATGTGTGCTTCTCAAGTTCTAAAAACAAATACGTACCTTTAAAATCTGAGGATTTTTGTAGAAGTGAAAATGTAAAATATGAATCACTTTGAACTACTGAATAAAGTATGTATTCCTGATGTTAAAATCCGATTACCCCAATAGCTCTATACATATCTAATAGAAATGATATTTTCAAGATACAAAACTTTGGCTAGTTATTTTTGTTTATAGAAGATTTGATGAACCAGTATTTATTTCCAAGTCAACCATTATCTAATTGTTACTCACAGCTAATTTTTCTTCTTCCTCATTTTCACTGTGCCATTCCGACTCTGCATCTGTAGGTTCAGCTTCACCAGTGATAAATTCCCTTCTCTGCAAAAGAAAGTTATATGTTTAAATGGAAAAGGTACTAAAGGCTCCTCTGGGCAAGTTATCCATGTTAATGCAGAAGACTAGGAAAGAATATTGAATGTGGTATATTCAAATAAAAAAAAATGACTTCTCATAGCTCATCAAAAAGCAAGGAAAAGAGTGACCCATGAACAAGGATACACATCTCCGAGTTTGAAAGTAACAGACTTGCATGTTGCAAGGGTGGCTACTACATCTGTTAAACCAAGGGTATATACCAAGTGTCCACGGGCTGATCAGTAGGCCAGACCTGGACTGGTGCAGTCACAGCACCAGGTCCAGGCAACACACTAGCTCCAAGTCAGGTAGGGTGTGGCTTGAAGCTGTACCAGCTCTCCTGTGACATGCAGCACATGCAGCCAGTCCAGCCCTGCATACCACAAGCAGCACACAATGGTTCCAAGGCTCACTGTGCATATGGATCCCAGTGTCAGCATGGGCTGGATTCGATGCTGCACACAACACAGGGGTGCACAGGCTGCATGTGGTACCCTGGACCAACACACTGTGCTG